TAACTTGTTTATCATGCTTACAACATGCTAATCATGCTAGAAACGTGTTTGTAATGTGCTAATCGTGCTAGAAACATGCTAGCAACTTTTGTTAAACATGCTATACACATGCTAACATCATGCTAGTAAAATGCTAACCATGCTACCAACATATTAGTAAAATGCTAATCATGTTAACCACATGCTAGTAACGTGCTAATCATGCTAATAACATGCTTGTAACTTGCTAATCATACTAGAAACATGCTATTAACTTGCTAATAATGCTAACAAAATGTTAACACCATGGTAGTAACATGCGAATCATGATAGAAACATGCTAGCAACTTTGTTAAACATGCTACAAACATGCTAGCATCATGCTAGTAACAAATGTGAATCATGCTAGAATCATGCTAGCAACATGTTAGTAACTTGTTAATCATGCTAACAACATGCTAGTAACTTGTTAATCATGCTAGAAACAAGCTAACAAAATGTTAGTAACTTGCTAATCATGCTAACAACATGCTAGTAACTTGTTAATCATGCTAGAAACAAGCTAACAAAATGTTAGTAACTTGCTAATCATGCTAACAACATGCTAGAAACGTTCTAATCATAGAAACAATAGAAACATTTTAGCAAACTTTTGCTAAACGTGCTAGAAACATGTTAACATCATGCTAGTAACATGTTAATCATGCTTGAAACATGCTAGCAACTTGTTAAAAATGTTAACGAAATGCTAGACGTTTGTTAAACATGTTAGAAATATGCGAACATCATGCTAGTAACGTGTTAATCATGCTAGAATCATGTTAGTAGCATGCTAATAATGCTAGAATCATGCTAACAAAATGCTATTAACTTGCTAATCATGTTAACAACATGCTAGTAACTTGTTAATCATGCTAACAAAATGCTAGTAACTTGTTAATCATTCTAGAAGAATGATTACAACATGCTAGAAACATGCTAGCAACTTGTTAAACATGCTAACATCATGCTAGTAACATGCTAATCAAGCTAGAGTCATGCTAGCAACATGTGAGTAACAAAATGTTAACACCATTCTAGTAAAATGCTAATAATGCCAGAATCATGTTATCAACATGTTATTAACTTGCTAGTAATGCTAACAACATGTTAATAACAAGCTAATCATGCTAGAAACATGCTAGTAACTTGTTAATCGTGCTAACAACTTGCAAACCATGCTCGAAACATGCTAGTAACATGCTAATCATGTTAGCAACATGCTAGTAACATGCTAATTTTGCTATTAAAATGCTAATCATGCTAAAAACATGCTAATCATGCTAGAAACAGCCTAGCAACCACCCCAGGTACCCTAGCAATATGTTTTATACCTGTCTTATCTGACATATACAGTATATAATATATATATGTCTTATATAATATATATATATATATATATATATATGTTTTTCTGATAGACTGTATTGCCTTGAAACATTCCAACTTTAATCTTTAAAACTTTTTAAAACTTTCTAGCTTGGCTTTTTCAAGCCAATTTAAAGTTTGTCTACAAACTTTTCAATCTAGTTACTATTACTCTTCATTTTCTAAGGTGCCTCAATGAAGAACTGCACTTACATTTTTATGTGTTAGACACTCCAGATGCTTAACCAATAGGAGTACACTACTCCTCCAATGTAGTTTCTTACCTGTACTACTCCACTCTTTCCTCTTTACTTTCTTAGTTTACACAAAAACCTTTCCGTTTGTACTGGACATGAGTTGAGGGAAATGTTAAGCCAAACGAATGTGAAGCTTCCCAAACAAACATTAGGCATGATTCATTTTAGTCATGGAAATTCTCATTTCCAGCCTCAGTGCATGTGAACACCATGGAAAAAATGAGAATGATTTTCAAGCACACTGTCTTTTTCAAAGGCACATGTTGAGTAATCATGTTAAACAGTATATTCAAAAAATTCCATCACATCCAGTTTGACTACATTTCCAGCCATGAATACTGTATGCATTATGAGGCATTAGTCATTGCGGTATTGTAGTCATGGTTACTAGGTTCAGAATTTTAAAACAGCAGCTGTCGGAACGGGACACCCAGTGAGATCTCAATCGAGTTCATTGTTCAGATAGATTGGTGAGTCAATGAAGCAACAAGGGAGGGTTAAACTGCGGCTGCTGCTGGCAGCTGGAACGGGGGATTTGATACATGGTGAGCAGTTAGACCATTCTGAGGGCCAGAGACTTAAACATTGCATCTTTTTTATTCCAGATTGTTAGTTAATTAGTGGGTAAAAAAGTGATTCTTGTTCATGTTGCTTGTTGCAGAAACCTATTCTAAGATACTAACAGCAAATGGGTAAATGATGGTCTAACAGTAGATTATCATTGGTGGGGGAAAAGAAAATGTAATGGTGCAACAGAACTTGTGATCATAACACACATTTTTATTTTCATAGTACTTGTGATGTTAGTGATTTATCGTATTTATAACAGATTTCCAGAAATACCAATGGTCGCAACTTTGGCTAGCCAGAGCAAACCTGGACACAATATGCGACCACAGCTTTTGCTCTCATCACTAACGTGTAATCCTGACTCAGCATATGCATATTTTTATCCCCTAAAGCTTTGGATGTGCAGATTTGTTTGGTTCCAGCTTTTTTGTCTGTAGGCTGCAACACCACAGGAAGAATCTTAAAATGCTGGTCAAATTTAAAACAGATATACCCCTCAAAGTGGCCAGAGAGAGAAAAGGGAACAGATTATGGTGAAAGGGGGACTTTAGAAATGTGTTTTGCACATGCTGTGCACAGCTGCCAACCATCTCTGAAAATCAATTTCATCTGATTTAGAGTCTTCTCACAGAAATTATAGAGAAAGAGAGTTTGGAAAACAGCACAATCAGATGATAAGCTGCGATCTACATGAGCATTCTGTCCTGTAAACACTTTGCTTACAGTCCTATAGGGTCATCCTCTTAGGACAGCTGGTGCCTTTTTGAACCTCCGTCTCAGTTGAAAACCATTTAGATGTTTTGGTTCAGCAAAAGTGCTGCTATATGCGTAAAATGGTTTTGTGTTAATTTTAGATGCATTAGAATCTTGCAGTTCCTTTAAGACTAAACTTCCTTACTGAGTTTGTGGTTTGTGTTGCTCAGGCTCAGCCTGTGTCTGGAACTAATCTGCAATCTGTGAATCATCTTTATTGATGGTCTGTGCCCACCTGGCCTTGTGTAAAACTATAGAAAACTACAGCTCATGTTAAAGAAAAAGGGATTTAGACTCTCAAAGTCTTGTTAGTAAAACTTGCTGAATGTATAACTTTTTTGACAAAGAACAGAGTTGATTTCAGAGCACACTAAAAGTAGAAGCAGTTCTTAACTGGATGAACGTTGTGAATCTAATGGGGCATGCCAACACTGCTTTGGTAAACAAGCTAGGTGTGTGCAAATGTTTGGCAATGATTGTACCTGTTTACTTTTTATTTTCACTGGCTCTAGCTGACCATAGTAAGTCAGAACTTTTCCATTAAAAGGTAAATGGTGGTTTGAACCAACTAATAAAATTGCTACAATACAAGCATGTAAGTCAAGTGATATTTCCAACATTTAGATCAGTCCAGTGCACCAAACCTACAATAAAACCCAAACCATAATGTTTTTAATAGTGCCATTTTGCTGCTTTCAGAAATAAATGGAAAAAACCCTCTTTCTTTTCAATTGACTGAGTCTTTGCATGCACATGCACAAAAGATGAAGCCTCCGAGATATGGGTTTACAATGAAGGTCCTAAAGCAAAGTCTTTTTTTCATCAGATTATTATTACTGACTGCCTTATAATCCCAATTGTTTTATTAAAAGAGTGTGGTCATATCTAGTGAAATATATAATATACATATTTTCTTTCTTAATTATTTTATGAGCTTCAGTGCATTTCAGAACTGTTTAATTATTAATTTGTTTTTTTAAATGCCGCTCTTTGTTTTCTGGACTAAGGACAACATGTCAAAACAGGCATGTAGGCCTACTCAAAATTAGCAAACAGGATTTTTGTTCTGTTTCTGCAAGCGTTTATAGTTCAGTATAACAGTTGACCCTGGTGAACAGAGGAAAGAGGAAAGCATTATAAGGCCCTATAAGGCAATAAGCTGTATTTTTCTCAAGATACTTTTTTAAATACTACACAGTGGGAACACATGCTACTGTGAATTGCTTTTGTCTTTGTGTAACAAGTTGATTCAAATGGGGAAACTTTTGTTCTTCTCAAAATCGTTAGGCTACATCACTTCTCCATAATTTACATTTGTAGTTTCTTTAATTTGACATTGATCTATTATACTTGCACACAGTGGAGCAGAATTTGTCAACACATCTCTTACTGTGAAGTAATCGTGGCATTGAATCACGGGAATCAGCTGTTTATTCTCTAGGATTCTGACATTATTCAGAGCAGAGCTAGTTAATTCAACAATGAGATACAGCAACAGAAACAGGTGTTGCATATCATAATGTTACTTTTCAGTTTTAACACAACAGTAAAAGTCTGATCTCTCAGGACTGACACCTCACTTTTGATCCACCCATCACGTTTTCACATGTATCATGTAATATTTAAACATGTTACTTATTATCTGAATGTGTTTTCTGATTTTTCAAATACTAATATACATTTATACTATACACTTTTTTATATACTAAAGAGGCTTGCAAGAAAGTTCATATATTGTGTTTGGGATTTTTCCTTCAGTGGGTAGCCAAGGATACAAGTTGAGTTAGAGGAGTGTAAGGAGAAAAAAAAAATCTTTGGTTTGGTTTGTTACATCACCTTCCCAATAAGGAACAGTCATACCAAATATGGCCTTGGGTCTGTTTCTCATTTATGACTCTCTCTCTCACTCACTTTTTTCCCCTCTTTGTGCTTTTTCCTTCTTTCTCTATGCAGAAGAAAGTAGGAGGCATAGAAAAATTGGGTGGCTTTTCTCCAGGATTCTCTGAGTTGTGTGTTCTGTCCCAGGCTGGAGTAAGTGGCACTCCTCCTCTGGAGAGCACACAGTCAGCTCAACGGACGAGAGTCTCACAGTAGAGCTCCAGCACACGAGCTAATCAGCATCATTTCTGCCTGTCCCATCCAGAACAGTTCACAGAAGGGAAATACCAGGAAGATAATGACCTAAGAGTTGTCTTTTTGCAGTTATTTGAAATTCCATAGAAAGACTGCGGAATACAGCACTCTGAATTCTGTATTCCAGAGGTGAGTTGCTTTGTTATATATGAGTCATGCAAATATGTCTTTGTAAAAGGAGCATTTAAGATCATGAGTGAGCCTGTACAAGATGGTGTGGGTTTTAGTATATTTGTATGCATGCATTCTAAAGCTGTGCCAAAATCAATTTTTACTAAAATATGCTGTGTATGCACCCTTTTTACCCTATAAAGTTTAATTTGTTTGCATGACTTTTCCAATGCACACAATGTGAGGCGGTTTTACTTCTTAATTATAGTTTTAATGTTAAGAATTCTATGGGTACACTAAATTCCAAAGCTTAGGGATTTTTTCTTGCACCACAGGAAGAGACATTGCAGAAGAGGCAGAGCAAAGTGCTCTGATAAGTAAAATACATGAGGAGGGGCTCTGTGCTAAGGGTGTGTAAGGGTGGAAAATTCAGCAGGAAAGTTTTTGAGACCACTGTTACAGTATACAGTCGTTTTTGTGATATGATTACATTTACCTTAATGATTATGTTATGTAAAAGTGTAAAATACACATTTTTCTAGAAGGATATATTGCAAAATTCTCATCTTAACTGTCTGTTTTAGTTGTTATGCCGATTTTGTTTTCATCAAGATAATATAACATACCAGGATGAGGATAATACTGATTATGAGCTTGTTTAAACAGAGGCAAGAAGCAGAGCAAGTCAGGAAGCTCTGTTGTACTTTTCTACCACTATAGACATTATTCAAATCGCACCTTCTGCCCAGCACTGTAAAGACAGGGTGATGTGAAACACTTTTTTCCACTGTCTGTGCCAGATGGACAAAGAATGCTGGGAGAGTTAGAGCTGAGGCATTAAGCTTAAGTGAAGCAGAACCAGATGTGGACCTTTGAAAACACCAGAAAACCTAAATCCATTGCAGTACTTTCCCATTGACTTGCATACATATAGGCAAACATATATAATTGTCACCACAAACATGCACAGAACTATAGGGTGCTGATATGCACCCTTTAGGGGAAGAAAATGTTTGAAAGTGTACATTTGATGATACTACTCATGCAGTGACAATCTAAAGTTAACATTTTTGCACATTTTTCCTGAGGGTGTGGGTATTAGATTTCCTCTGCTGGGCCTGCTTTGAGAAAGACTGTCAGGGAAAAGTAGTTATCCCAACTCAATCCACTAGAGGACAATGTTGAGACACCGTGCAATTTTTTTTGACTGAGCTTGGTTTTGGTACACACATATGTTTTCCATCTCATTATTGTTGCTTGGGCATTAAAAAAAATTACTGAATCAGTTGTTTATTCTCTACAACTTTACTGAATGAGGCAGCAAAATGATGCTGAAAATCATGTAATTATTAATGTAATTAAAAAGAGATTTCCATGATTTGAATGTTCTTTGGGAAATATTTTTTTTTAGTTTGCACTGGCCATTTTTATGTTTTGCCCTGGTTATAATTAATTATATTTATTTGTTTCTTTATTTCTATATGCAGTATGTGCATATCAGTAATTCACAACAATTCTCAATTCACATGCACAGTTTTTCATGTGGTTGTGCTTGCAGTTATTATTTCTCAGACACACCACTAGTTGGCACATATTGTGCGCATTATGACTACGCATTGTTACATTATAAGCTATAAATTTACTTGTAATAAATTTAAATGAAATACCGTTGTGTGCTGAAGTTTGAAAATTATTAAGTATTTTTCTGCATCCAAAGGAAATAAATGCCAACCGAAACAACTTCAACTCATGAAGTAATTTTGTGTAAGGACCTCTTTCTTTCTTTCTTTCTTTCTTTCTTTCTTTCTTTCTTTCTTTCTTTCTTTTAGGATTCTAGCTATTCTAGATGTCATTAATCATTTTCTTTTTTCTTTTTTTTGTGTGTTCATTTTATATTTCCTGGTCTTGTGCACAATTAATGTAATTGAGACACACACACACACCTATATCTATCTCTATCTCTATCTATATTGGATTATGTCACAAATTCCTTTTGGTTTTCAACTCTCAAACAAACTGGCTCCATTCTCATAGCACTACTTATTATTATTATCCAATCAAATCTAAAAAAAACTAAGTCCCTCCTACATGTTTTCTTGTTGAATATCTTGAAAAGATCAAGTATATTAGAATATTAACACTTCATGTTAAATATAAAGAGTATATCTTACAACAATTTTAAAATGGCAGGTGGAAAAATTATTTAAAAATAAAATAATTGAAACTATTATTTAAAGGCATATTTATTTGTATAATGAATATGTCAGGAATGTTTGAATTGGAACAAGACATGCTTTTTCCTCAGGACAGATTAGGCTGTTCCTCACTGAGAACATGGCTTTGTTCACTTTACTTTGTTAACATAAAAAAAAAAAAAAAAAAAAAAAATACAATGTTTAATTTGTTATAACTGTAAGTGCAAAACATGCAAAAATGCCTTTAAAAACAAATGTTTTTATATAAGTTTAAAAAAAAATCATATTTGCATTTGTGGTCACATGGTAACCAACTACCAAAACGAATGAATTTGTACCGTGACTCAATGCGTCCAGCAACTCTGAGACTGATGTGATGGAAACGTTATTTTCCTGTAGGCTTCCACTCTGAATGTTTTTACAATAGATCCTTTCAGTGTGATTCTGAGCTCAACAGGGAGGGGACATTCTGTGTTGTGGTATCTGTCTGTCTGCATGTTATGGCATTTTTGTTTGTGTCCAGTACTCTGATGCTTTTTTTCTGAGTGTGGACTGTGTAGTGCTTAGTGGTTTCTACTGGCAAGTGAGGACAGTTGATGTGGGAAGAAAACCTTTTAAAATCCTGAAATCTGACAGCTGTATGGATTTGGCTCATGGGGTGGAAACAGATCACATAAATCTCACTGTGCTGCCAAAACTTTTCCTCTCCTCCTAAAAATAAGCGTAAACAGTCCTGAGGTATTTCAGAGAATGTTTATGTTATATTTTATGAGATAAGATGAGAACACAAACAACCCAGTATTGGAATATATTTAGAATATTGATTGTTTGACACCTATAATTTGATAGCAAAACATTATCAGACTGTGCAAAGTTATGTCAGAACTGTGGATGAACAACAGTCATGTGTGTTAGTGCCATTGAAATTGAGAAAGTTCTATCTGAAATAAAGGGATGTTGTTTGAGAGTATCCATATACTGTAGTATGCTGTACATTTTTCCAAAACCTTAAAAGCAGTTTTGTTGTCTTTTTTCCAGCTGTCTATTCCTATGCTTTTGTGGACAATGGGGAAGAGTCGGTTGTTACTGTATGCCCTCTGGGGTGTAATGGTTTTTGGCCTATTCCAAAAACTTGAAGCTCAGGATGGTAAGTTTGGTCCATCTTTTTTTTTTTGTCTCTTCACCCTTCTTTGAGATGTAAATGTCACACTATGGGTAAAAACATATTCATTTTACTGTGCTATCTTCCCTTGTCTGGGAGGAGAGTTTAAAATGAGGTATCTTGTTCTTTGCAAAGCTCTATTGTTTAATATGAAGTTTAATTACATCTACTTATGCAACAGCAAGTAACAATAGGAGCGTTTTCAGAAGACCCCCATCAGTGCTGGTCACTTGTGTTAAAACTTTGAAATCTCATATTTAAGACAGTGAAGAGAAACAGTTACAGTTTATGTAAAAGGAAATAACTGATTTAAATACCTAGAGGCCATTCAGAGCAGTATGCTGTAGTTTGTTCAGAACTCCTAATGAACAAAAACATTTCTGAATTACTGAATAACTGAATAACTGAATTTTAAGTTTACACCACCAATCCTGAAAGGTCTCAAGAGATACTGTCAGCGTCGGGAATGGCCACAGCCAGTTAATATTGACTCTGGGTAATTCATGAACAATTAAACTAGAAATAACCCAATTAACAATTCCCCCACTGTTAACATGACTAGTTTTGTCACAGTCACATTTTCTGCATGCTGTTTTTAGTGCATTTGCGCAAATAGACATGAAATAATGGATTTTAAATGTAACAGAATTTCAAAACCATCAACATCCATCCCACTGTCTTTCTGTCTCTCTGCCATTATCCGTTCACTTATTTATCCATCCATTCCTCTACTAAATTCTTAAAGAAAATAAAAAATGAAAATTAGATTCACTTACAAATTGATGCCTAAATCCTTTAGATGTCATATGACTGATTTATGTCTTAGAGATCATCAGCAGCTGATGATGGCTAACCACCCAGCACAGCTTATGTCTTGAGAGCTTAATGTCTGATTCTTATGTGTTTGTGTGCTGACTGTCTTCACTGTGTAACCATTTAAGTAAAAAAAAGTGTTTCTCCACAATTAAGACAGTGATGAATCCATATGTTCTCATCTTTGAATTGTTTACTAAACAAAGGGCATATTTCACTGAATTTAAACATTAAAGACCCCATAAACTGAAGGTAAAAGTTTTGTGCCTTTTTTGTGTCTATGTAGGTTTTCCTTTAGCTATCAGTAGTATTTTGTTGTGTGCTCCAAAATGATGACAAACTCCACTTTTAGCAGATCATTGTATGCATTTTACATTTAGTCTCTCTCTTCTGGAAAATAAAGCTAAAAGTATTGATGACTCTTCCTATATTTCAGACATGTTTGCATCAGATGCTGTCTAGAACATTAATGTCCCTCCCCTAATATCACCTGCAGTCGATTATCAAGGAGTAAATCATGGCTCGTGTTTGTGGCATAAAGCTTATTGACCATTTAAACAAGGGACAAACCTTTCAATATATCCTCGCCATAAATTTTGTTTTAGTGCTGTTGTCACAAGAAATGATTGTTGAAGTGGTTGTTGAGCGATTTCATGGGGTCTTTAACAATCAAATATGTGAAAAATGCTAGTACAGTTGAAAGAAGTGACAATAAAAAATATTTATAAAGGTCCAAAGATGAGACAGAAGGGTCATGACTGGTGCTGTTATCACTGAATACTGTAACATGAGTCTGCATGGTCTGACTGAACACAAGAAGATGAAAAGATTAAATTGCCTAGACAGCCTTTAGAGGGGCCCAAACACATAAACAGTTCAGAATCTTTGTAATGTACACACAATTACTCTAAATACACTGTAAATTAAAACCCCACAACTTAATTCTACACTATTTAGAGTATGAAAATTAGAAAGTTGCGGAGCATCTTCCTTGGTTCAGCAGACATGCAGTATAATGTGTTTGTGTTGTGTTTTTATGATGGATTGTAATTATCCATGATTATGTTTTATGCTTGCACCCCTCCCCTTTCACCCTCCCTCTTTCCTTTTTTTAACCCACACGTTTTGCATTATAGTTTGTTTGTCTCTCTGTCCTCTCTCCACTTCCCTTCAAAGCCCCTGCGCCAGCCGACCTTGTACTCTTAATTGACGGATCAGAGAGCGTTGGAGCTGCCAACTTCCCCCTCATCAGTGATTTGGCTGTCCAAGTGATTGAGGGGCTTGCCGTGGGCAGGGATGCAATCCGTGTAGCCCTCGTGCTTTATGGTGCTGACCCTGACATTCAGTTCTATCTCAATAGCTATGACAACAAAGAGAGTGTCCTCAGTGCTATTCGGAAGCTTAAGTACCCTGGCAGTTATGAGGCAAATCTGGGGGCCGCTGTGGAGGAGGTGGCAGACAGTCTATTGGGCCAAGATGCAGGAGGCAGGGCTGAGGAAGGGGTACCCCAGGTGCTGGTGGTGATCAGTACTGGGGAGTCCACTGATGATGTCAGTCAGGCCGAGAGGGCCCTAAAGCAGGCCAGTGTGTACACCTTTGGCATTGCTGTGGGTGATTCTGCTACTGCCCAACTGGAAGCTATTGCTACAGACAAAAGATTTGTTCTGTCTGCTCCTGATGTCAGAACAGTGGCACGCGTGGGTGACCAGATACTGCAATACATTAATGGGGTCGCCCAGCGCACCATTGTGATTCAAACAGATTTCACAGAAGGTATGTAATTAACATATGAGGGGGATTCCAAAGCGAAACTGAAGAGTTGGAAATAATAACAATACATTATCAGGGAGGTGGACATTTAAACAAACAAAAAATTGGTTTAAAAAAGGTTTTAGTGGTGTTTTCTTTTTTATATATATTTTCAGTAATTCTTTGTCTGGTATTTTAGAGACAACACTTATACACCATATTTTGAGTGCTGTAAGCTAGTAGTTTCAATCCTGGTCTTGGGGACCCACTGCTCTGCACATTTTGTGTCTCCCTTATTTAACACACCTGATTCAGTTCATCATCTCATCAGGTTAGAGCTCCATGAACTGCACAGAGTCAGATAAGAGACATACAAAATGTGCAGAGCGGTGGGTCCCCAGGACCAGGATTAAAAACCAATGCTGTAAAAAACATATGCTGTTTGCCAACGAACCATACAAATAGTGTTGTAGTTCACTGTTCTCATCATTGATTGTTCTCTCTAAAACACAATATTTAAACTAAATCAAGTGTAGCACAGCTTTCAAGTGGAGAGAGATAACTTTTGTATTTTTAGATTTTGTATGTTTATTCAGGATATTATTACATTTTGGTCACAGCAAATGTCCATTTTGAAATGAATGATCACTTAATGCTAATTAATTTTTACTGCATATATGATTTATCTATGCCATCTTTATGTCAAGTAAAAGAATGGTGATAGTTAATACATTGTATTTGTAAAACAACCTTCAAGCTAAACCTTAATTATTAATTTTAAATAAATGATGAGAGCTAATTTAGGTTACCTGATTTTAGTTAGAATTTGCAGAGAGACTAAGCAGAATTCTTCTTTTTTCCCCCCCTTTTAGCTTTGGCTGTTGGGAAGAGAGATATAATTTTCCTCGTTGACAGTAGCATGGGTACCATCTTAATCAATGCAGTGCGAGAATTCATCAAAAGGTTTATTGACACCATGCCAATTGGTCCTGATCAGGTGCAGGTCGGAGTGGCCATGTTTTCCACCACCCCAAGAATGGAGATCAACCTCAACTCATTCAGTTCAAAGGAATCACTAAGCTCTGCCCTCGCAAGAATAAAACCCAGATCTTCGGTTGAAGTCAACATAGGTGCTGCCTTGGATTTTGTGAGGACCAACATGCTCACAGCTGAGAGTGGTAGCCGCATTCAAGATCAAGTGCCACAGCTTGTGTTGCTCCTAACCAGTAAAAAATCCAAAGACAGTGTCCAACAACCAGCTGATGCCCTCCGTCAAATGGGTGTTCTGACTTTGGCTGCAGGCTCCAAGGCTGCTGATGAGGCTGAGCTCAGGCAAATAGCTTTTGATGGCAGTGTGGTTTTCATGCTGAAGGACTTCAGGGTGTTGCTGCGCAACCCCAGAGAAATTATCTCCCCACTCTCTACATTGTCTGGTATTGTTGTAACAGAGGATCCAACTGAAACAGGTATTCTTTAGAATTCTACAAACATACTCATTTTGTTTATAAAAAAAGCAGATTGTATTGTTCATAATTATTAGTTACATAGATACATATTTAAATTAATACGATATATATATATGGCGGAGCATGGGGTCCAACCTAACACTTTTTGACATTCTCAGTTTGTATAAATCCATCTGAGGTTCAGAGTATAATTATTATTCACATTAATTTCACACTTTTCTTGCACAAATATGTCACTTTGTTTCATAATTACAGTGTATATGTTTTTCTTTATTTACCCTAAAAAAATGGAAGTGAAATGTGCCAACATGCCCTGTAGGTGGGGTGCATTGTAACATCTGAGGGACACATTGTAACATGTCCACATGACAGCTTAAAATGTTATCTGATTTAATGAAAAAAAATTATACAAGACAAACTAAAATATTTTGTTAATAAAATAAAATGATTAACTTTTTCAAATAGAATAATGGCGTTTTTTAAGAATAAAAAATATTCTAATTCTGGAGTTTGACAATGAATACATTGCAACCATGCAGGACGGCCCTGATCAGAAGAGGCAGCTATGCATTATAGCTCAAAACAATGTGGGCAAATAGATGAAGAAACACATTCAGTCGTTCAGAAAAACACAGAGATGAACACAACACTCCACTTCCTTCACACACAGCTCTCACAGAACAGGAGACACATAAACGAGCCAAAATGCTTTCTTGAAATAATAATTTCTAAACATTAATTGACTGTCAGTCTTTATTCACCTGTTTCTTGTGGTTTCTCATTAAAATTCACAAAAGTAAATAGTGTAAATTACATCGCTATACTGTCATAGAATAGCATAGTTCTAATAATAGCGGGGCACGCCGTAACGCAGTTACAATGTTGCCCATCTGCGCAACTGGAATTTAGAACCAGTTGGTGTCATCTGCTATGCGAAGCATTAAAAAACGATCTAATCTGATAAATAACAGATTGCAGATTATAATAGTAGCAGATTTGTCTCATTTTAAACTAATACTAAAAAGTGAGATGAAAAATTTACTTCAGCCAGAAATGTACTTTTGCTATGGTAAAATAAATATTCACCGATATCTTCAAAAGATGTTTTAATTTTGGCGCACTTTTTCTCTATATAGTGTTGATATGACAACTAGTAAATACCGTAAATTGTGGTTATGCTAGCATGTGTGAAAATATTTAATCTGTGTTACAACTAACCCCGCGTTAGTTTGTGCCCTGCGCTCCCCTAGATCAAATACTTTACAAAACCATGTATCTTTTCTTAAGCAGTTTTGCCCATTGATACTGTCTTATAGCACAAATTGAGGTTCTTCTTCATTTAAACGGTACTTAGATATCTAAAAGCATCTAAGTATTTAAATATCTAAAAAGGTTATTTAAAATCTTCTAGGCACAGTTGTGGATGTTACTACGGTCCACACCCAAAGAGTTGTCCGAGACATTGTCTTCTTGGTGGATGGATCTAACTATGTTGGAAATAACCGGCAACCTGTGCTGGACTTCATTACCGAAGTGGTGAACAAACTAGACGTTCGACCTGAGCGAGTGCGCATTGGACTAATGCAGTTTGCTGAAAGGCAGCGTACAGAGTTTAATCTGAACACTCACAACACCAAACAGGATGTGCTCTCTGCCATCGCTCGGCTGAAATTGATGGGAGGACGTGCATTGAACACTGGTGCAGCCCTACAGTATGCCCTAGACAACCACTTCCAGCCCTCCGCTGGGTCTCGTAGGAGAGAGGGGATCCAACAGGTACTGGTTTTAATAACAGGAGGACCATCTCAAGATGAGGTCAAGAAGATTGCAGACAGTGTAGCTTTAGCGGGTGTTTTGACATTTGCTGTTGGAGCTGGCCAAGTGGAGGATCGTTTCCTGAGAACTGTTGCTTTTGTTGAAGATTTGGCATACTACAGAAGGAATTTTGCTGACTTGTCAAGTGTTGTTGATGAAATTATGACACCACTGGTCACTGTTGTTGGGGAGACTGATACTTCAGTAACAGGTGAGCTAAAGCACCTTTTCATAAAAAAAAGTATATAAAATAATAATCATAAAATGCATGACCATAAAATATTTTGTTTTATTTTTTAAACTTAACAACATGTAAATAAATTAACTGCTTTTACAGATTAATGTGATCCGAGAGGAAGCTTCTACTTATATCAGTGGCCTAGAAAAAAAAGATTATACTTGACCTAGTGGTCACCCTAAATGAGGAAGAAAAACCACAATTAGTGATATTTTAATTTCGTATATAAATTCCACGTTTAAAGTGGGGTGTGACACAAATGGAACCTCCAAACTCTCTTTCTAAAGAACTGTTATCTGAGAAACTCACAAGTTTTGTTGAATAATATTTTATTCAGTTAATATATGTATCTAACGGTGCATTAAACATACTACATAACTGAAATGACACAGCACCTCAATTATCAGACTTTTATTTCCAAATAGGTTCATGAAAGGTAACAAATATGCCAGTTTCTACCAATGGGCACCAGTAACTAAAAAACAATTGTTTTGAGGTGATAAGTATCACTATAAAGTCCAAGTACATATCAAATTAGTCAACGGAAAATATTTTTGCACCACTTTATTTTTTTAATCACCTACATTTATTTTCTTTTGTATTCAGAAATGTACAATCTAACTTTTATGTTGTACTGTAGATATTTAAGCATTTTATTGTATTTATTTAATATTCTCTCTTTTTTTTTATCTTTCACAGAATTTGTAACACCAAGTCCCTCTGGTGGAGAAAGGGATGTTGCATTCTTGATTGATGGCTCTGATGATGTGAGAAGTGACTTTCCCTATATCCGTGACTGTTAATCACCTACATTTATTTTCTTTTGTATTCAGAAATGTACAATCTAACTTTTATGTTGTACTGTAGATATTTAAGCATTTTATTGTATTTATTTAATATTCTCTCTTTTTTTTTTATCTTTCACAGAATTTGTAACACCAAGTCCCTCTGGTGGAGAAAGGGATGTTGCATTCTTGATTGATGGCTCTGATGATGTGAGAAGTGACTTTCCCTATATCCGTGACTTCATTTCCAAAGTCATTGAGCCTCTGGATATAGGCTTTGATAAAGTTCGAGTTTCTGTGGTCCAGCATAGTGAGAGACCAACTCCTAACTTCTACCTGAACACTTACCGAACCAAAGATGAGGTGCTGAGAGTTGTAAGTGGACTCACTCTGGCAGGTGGCAGAAGTTTAAACACTGGAGTTGCCTTGACATTCATGAAAAACACTATCTTGTCACCAGCAAATGGTGGTCGAGCTGGTCAAAATGTTCCCCAATTTATGATAGTTTTGACTGGGGGGAGATCAAAAGACAGTGTCAGAGAACCTGCAGTTGCCCTAAAGACTGAGGGAGTTGTTCCTTTTGGTGTTGGAGTGAAAAATGCAGACCCTAAACAGATTGAGGCCATCTCTCACAATCCATCATTTGCTTTCAATGTGAAGGAATTCAGTCAGCTCAGCACTGTTCAGGAAAGGCTCAAGAACTATGTGAACCTTCCAGATCAAGAACTGAAGGTCTTTCTAGAGGAAGGTAAGACCATTTTTGCTTTTTGTGTTTCTGTGGTCTTCTGTATGCTTGCAAAAGCAGCAGCGTGTCTTAGTCGTTTATTTTTGGGTACATTGGCCTGCTATTCTGTGTTTCAAAATATTTCTCATTGGTGTACTATGTCTTAGTTGATGCCGAAGATGTAACAAAATACATTGTGTTCCTCTTGGATGATTCTGACAGTATTAAAAGTGGATTTGGTGCAGTGTGTGATTTTGTTCAAAGACTTGTTGAGAAACTTAATGTGGAGGAGAGCAAATACAGAATATCTGTGGTTCAGTACAGTGACAATCCATTGGTTGACTTCTATTTTAAAACTTACTCAACAAAGGTGGAGGTTCTAAATGCAATAAAGGTCCTGAAACACAAAGGTGAACAAGCAGCTAACACTGGTGCAGGCCTCCAGTTTGTGAGGCACCAGGTTTTCAATTCTTTATCTGGGAGTAGATGACTTTATGGAATTCCTGAAATACTAATATTGTTGAGTAGCAGACCATCTAGTGATGAAATAATAGGGCCTGCCATGGCCCTGAAAGATCTTGAAATTGTGACTGTGAACATTGGTGTGAAAAATGCAGATTCAAATGAGCTGAAAACTATAATTTCAGTCGCCATTCACACATTATATTGATTGATTTAATGGCCTTCCTTTAATAGCGCCACAAATAGTTTTAACACTAAAGCATGTCCCAAAAGAATCAGTAGAAATTCCAAAAACAAGTTATGGGTAAAAGCATCTGCTAAATGCCTTAAATGTATTATAAATTGCCATATATATGTTGATATTCTTAATTCTATGGTGGAACTGAAAATTCCTTTCTTTTTAAACATTTTCTCATATCTTCCATGTCTTTAGTTGACATCTTTTGCACATAAAGATGTTCGTTTCATGGGAGTGTTTTTGAACTATATTTCACTTGCAAGACCTTTTCTTATTCAACGCTATTCACATCCTGACCCACAAAACTAATTTTGAGGGTTCGATGTCACTGATATTCTTTGATTTACTTGCATTTTGAAACACTCTTGTACACTTTTAAAGCTTTTGCTATTCAATTTATACATTGAATGAGTCAGATGTATTCCAATATCCTTCTCTTTTTCTTTTCTTGGTAACTTGCCTGACACAGGAATTAACAAACGGGATATAGTTTTTCTCCTTGATGGCTCCGATGACTCCAAAAATGGACTTCTTGCCATCCGTGAGTTTATTCGGAGAATGGCAGAGGATCTTGACATTGACCAGGACATTGTTCGAGTTGCTGTAATACAGTACAGCGAAGATGCTTTGACTCATTTCCTACTTAATACTTATAGTAGTAAGAAAGCTGTAATTTATTCCATTAATGGCCTTACAGCAAAAGGTGGAAGAAATCTAAATACTGGGGCAGCACTACAGTATGTCAGGGACAATGTGTTCACTGCTGCTTCTGGAAGTAGACATCAGCTAGGAGTACCTCAGCTGTTGATTGTTATGACTGGTGGAGGGTCCATTGATGATGTGGCAGGTCCAGCTGAAGATCTCAAAAATATTGGAGTTCTGTCCATTGCCATTGGAATAAAGAATGCTGTAGAGGCAGAGCTCCAAAGCATAGCATTTTCACCTAGATTTCTTTTTAATCTTCCAGCCTTTGGTGAACTTTTAAATATACAGCCTGATATCCTCTCCTTTATCAAATCCAAAATGGGAATAGAACCCCCTACTATCATTGGTAAGAATAGCAACACTTGGCATTTTCCTCAAATTCACACTTTTTCTTTTGACTTTGGGCATTTGAGAGTTTGGACATGAAACTTCACGAAAAGCTGCTTTCTTCACTAATCTGCTTGCTTTAACTATGAGGCCATTTATTGATTGATTGATTCAGCTTTCTTAACATATGTTAAAGAATGGCAATTAATGGCCTTGACCACTAAATATTTACCTGTTCTGTTCATCTTTTGCTTTGTCCATCAGAGAACTTCTATGGTTTTCCACTGGTTCTCTTAACCATGGAAGAGTCTTACTACTTGTGGAGATTCCCCTTCAGGTTAAAGCTCTTATTTGAGCCAATGATTTCTCAATCATTGCTGGTATTTCAACTCCTTGGTCTTCCCTTTTTCTATTCTGGTTGCTTGATTGATCTTACTTATTCAATTGAACTTGAAAATACACTAGGGATATCCTGTCATACATTTTTCTTTTGTCAGATATTGTCAGCATATTCACACAAACATAGCAAAATGTATATGGATTGTAAATGTGTCTGTAAATTGTTCATTCAGATTTGAATTTTATTGTTAATACTATGAAAAATCACTACATACAATAATGTGCTTTATGTATTTAGTATGTTAATGATGTTTTGTCTTACAATTTTACAAGAGTCTGTTTTACTAAAGCCATTTAATTTTCATCCCAGTTGAATTGGATGCAGCTCAAAGAGACATTGTCTTTATTCTGGATGGGTCTGATGACACCAGGGATGCATTTAAACAAATGTGTCAGTTTGTTCAAAGAGTGGTGGACAAACTCAATATTGGGCCAAGCAGAGACAGAGTGTCTGTAGTTCAATACAGCAGAGAGCCACAGGTCCATTTTTACCTCAACACACATGCCACAAATCAAGACATTCTCAATTCAATTGAGAGTCTGAAACACCAGGGAGGAAGTCCCCTCAACATGGGAAGAGCCCTTGACTATACCAAAAAGAACATATTCATTGCCTCTTCTGGGAGCAGAATCCTAGAGGGGGCTCCTCAGGTGCTTGTGCTTGTGACTGGAGGAAGGTCTCAGGATGATGTTAGAGCTCCAGCTGCTGCTCTGAAAAAGGATCAAATTGTAACATTCAGTATTGGCAATCAAAATGCAGATGTTATTCAACTCCAGGCAATTTCATATACTCCTGGTCATACCCTTACTGTTCCTCAGTTTGATGACCTTCAAACCATTGAACAGAAACTTGTATCATATGTAAAAAGAGTTCCTCGTCAGCCCAGGAGGCTTCCACAAACTACATCAGGTAAGGATGATTTTTATTTTTTTGAAATGTGGTTGATTTAATGGTGTTGTGGGCTAGTGGCATAACTATATATATTTATGCTCATTGCAACAGATGCTGGAAAGAGAGATGTTGTGTTTTTAATCGATGGTACTGATGAAACAAAGGAAAGTTTCTCAGGAATGCAGAACTTTGTTCAGACCCTGGTTCAGAAACTGAATGTGGCACCAAATAAAGATCGTATTTCAGTGGTCCAGTACAGTGATGATGCAGCCTTTGATTTCCTTTTGAATACATATTCATCATCAGATGATGTTATAAATAATGTGAAACATTTAATTCATAAAGGAGGAAAGCTGCGCCACACTGGGGCAGCCCTACAATATGTTAAGGACAACCTGTTTACTGCTGCTGCAGGGAGTAGACTTTTGGAGGGTGTGCCACAGGTTCTAATTCTATTGAACAATGGAAGGTCCAACGATGACATACGTGGTTCAGTCAAAGCTTTGAAAGACACTGGTGTCATTTCATTTAGTATTGGTACCACAAATGCTGATACGCTTGAGTTACAAACAATATCCCATCAGCCAAACTACTTTTTCATTTCTGATTTTGAGAGCATTCTTGATGTTCAAGAGAATATTTTTGCATTAATAAACAGGCTATCTTACCAACGACTACCAACAATGACACCTCAGGTCTCTGGTAAGAGAAAATTAATTAATTTCATAATGTATGTGTGCACACCAGCCACTGGCAGCAGTGTCCTATGTATTCTAGCACTTAATAGCATTAACACTGCTTTAGATTAGTCTAAACACATGATCTAGTGTTGTAGAATATACTGTTAAAGTACTTTGTTATAGTTAATTTATTCATTTCATTTTTTTTATTACAGAATTTGTCAAAAGGGATGTTGCATTTCTTATTGATGGATCTGATGATTCTAAAATTGGTTTTGAGGGAATTCGCAATTTTATCCAGAGGATAGTTGAGAGTCTAAATGTGGAGGAAGATCTTGATAGGGTGGCGGTTGTTCAGTACAGTCGGGATCCCACAGCTAATTTTTATCTCAGCTCATACTCAACCAAAAAAGAGGTACTTAATTCCATACGATCTATGAGGCACAAAAGTGGAAGGCCACTGAATACTGGAGCTGCTCTACTGTTTATTAAAGAAAATATTTTTACACAATCCTCTGGGAGCAGACGTCATGAGGGTGTACCTCAGATTCTGTACTTATTTAGCGGTGGTAGATCTGGTGATGATGTCAGAACCATTTCACAAAGTTTAAGAGAAAACAACATAAAAGTCATTACAATTGGCACAAGTAATTCTGATACACTTGAGTTACAGACAATGTCTACAACACCAGCATATGCTTTCTCTGTTCCTGACTTCACCTTCATCAACAGCATTGTCCAAAGAGTTGCCTCTGTTTTGACAAGTGGTGATGAAATTCCTGAGCAATTTCCAACTCCTGGGGGTAAGAACTTTGATAAATGATGTCTTTGTTGAACATGCTGTTATGTTACATGAAGAAGAGACTTGCAGATGCAGACAAATTAGCCACTGTATCTACTGTGTTTCTATAGAATTGTTGTTTAAATACTGTTGTCTTTCCTTTATGGAAATATTCTTTGTTTTATTTATTGTAGGCCAGACTTTGGACGCAGGAAGAAATATTGTGTTTCTTATTGATGGATCAGATGATGCTAGAGATAGATTCACAGCTATACGAGAATTTGTGGCCAGTTTGGCAGAGACATTTGATGTTGGTAAAGAAAAAGATAAAATTGCTGTTGTGCAGTTCAGTAATACTGCAGCAATAAGCTTTAATCTCAGTACATACTCATCCACTTCTGAGGTGGCAGATGCTGTACGCAACCTCAAACCAAAAGGGGGAAGGCCGCAATATATTGGCCAGGCTTTGCAGTTTGTTAGAGACAGTATTTTTACCCCAAGTGTTAGAAGTCAGCAAATAGGCCGTGTTAGCCAAAATCTTGTGCTTGTGGCTGGTGGCAGATCAAGAGATTCTCCTCATGGACCAGCTAACGCACTAAAGAGTATGGGAGTAGCCATTTTTGCCATTGGTTCAAGGCTGACAGATCCTATTGAAATGGAAGCCATTTCTTCGAAGACAGATTATGCCATTGCTGTTTCTGATTTTCATGATTTAAAAAATTTACGCCAAAGCCTCATGACAAAACTTATGGGTGAAAGACAAAAAGGAGAAAGAGAAATCGATGGTAAATAATACATTGTAAAGCTTTAGAAACATTTATAGATGTTCATAGAAGTTTTATGATTACATGTTGAGACTTTCAGTATAGGCTGATCATTTCAATTTATTTTTTATTTAATTTTTTTGTTAATGGAAAGTTGAATTAAATACAAAGTTACAAAATATTTTATTGTTGGAAATAAAATTCTGTATTCATTTATTTATTTTTAAAATTTGTATGTATATGCCTCCTGCCATTGTATATTACAAATGAAACTAAACATACTAATTCTAATTAGAAAAAGACTATAAAGGTGCATCTCTAATCATGTAATTATTGTAATTCTAGGCACAGGATTTAAAAGGGATATTGCTTTTCTTGTGGATGGTTCGGACAGTACAAGAAGAGGATTTCCAGAAATACGTGATTTTCTGTACAATATTATCACAAATCTCAATGTGGGCATTAATAATGATAGAATCTCAATAATTCAATACAGCAATGTGCCTGTAGCAAATTTTTATTTGAATTCATTCTTAAGAAAGGAAGATGTATTGAATGCAGTAAAAGTGCTTAGCCATAAAGGTGGAAGGCCCTTAAATACAGGCTCTGCCCTTCTGTATGTAAAGGAAAATATCTTTATAAGTGCCTCGGGAAGCAGGCACAAAGAAGGCATCCCTCAAATATTAATTCTGCTGACTAGTGGAAAATCAAGGGACAGCATTTCTGAAGCAGCCTCTGCTTTAAAAGAAAGTGGGGTGTTAATATATGGAATAGGAGGAAAGTACTCAGACTCTTATGAATTACATACAGTTTCTTCTGAAAATAAAATGCTTTCATTGGCTGACTTCAGTGAATTACCAAAAATCCAGACACAGTTATTAGAAGCAATGAAAGCCATTCCAAGTTACAACAAAAAGGAATTCATAGGTAAGTGTAATAATGCTTCTGCACAGTAGTGACTAAAATACCTCCTTAATATTCAGAAATGTATTATGATAATTAGGTTAAAAATCTTACTATTACAGTATGTAGGGCTGCCCCCTAATAGTCGACTAACCATTACTCAACGAGAAGAGACTTAGTTGATCAAAATTGTATTAGTCGCAGGTAAAACAAATCTACAGAAAGTGGCGAAGTCATGTAGTCAGATCAGTCTAGCCGTTTGTTTATGTCGATGCAAACGTTTGTTTCATCCATCAACCTCAAATCTGGCTTATCATCTGAAACATGTAAGTAGTAACATCATTACATGGCCACTTTCTTTAACGTTAACCTAGAAAAATGTATGCTATTCAAGTGTTTGTGCGGAGTGTGGAAGCTGAATAGTAGCGATTTGTGCTACCCTGTCAGATTTTGCTACCTCCCATTAAAACAGTGGGTAGTACAATTCGACAACGAAAAATGCTACCTGTAAAATTATGGTTTATTACCATCTGCCCCTACCACAACCCTAAACCTACCCTTACAGTAATGCAGATACATTAAATATGGTTGTTCAGCATGAGAAAAAGGATGCAATATTGATGTGCGCATGCGCAGTAAACCCTGGTAGGACAATCTGTTGGGTAGGATAAAATGTCAGGACACCGGTGCGATCATTTGCATTTAAATTACTACAAATATTTAAATGAATACTCCATAATTTTTGGTCAAACAGATAAGAGTAGTACATCTTTCAAATCTGTAAAAGGACCACTTTCATTTGTGTGCACTCAAAATAACAACAAAATGTTGTGTTTTTGTAAAATAATGAAAGCAAACAGTAGAAACAGCTTTATCTACCGCTTTCTCTTATATCTAGGTCTCTGTGAATTTGAGCGTGTCAAAGAAATATATCTATAGATAGCAAAATGTCTACTTTTAAATTAACCAATTCAAATGGAAAACAAATATTTTCAGATTATGTAATCTGTGTGAAACGTGCATGTCCACTATGGAGATGATAAGTCAGTGTCTTCGGCTTCGTCACTGCAGCCAAAAATAAAGAAAACACTAGTTTATGAATTAATAATGATGTAAAGGTAGTCTTCTTGCTGTTTTTTCCCCTGAAGCATTCATAATCGTTACTTCTGTGTTGTTTATGTGTGCACTTGAGTGCTGATATACTATTGGCAATTAAAGGCTCACTATTATGAATTACATGGTTTGTTAAAATAAACATGTGATTAGTTAACTAATTGCATAAAATGAATGACTATTAGTCAATCAGAAAAATCTATAGTCAAAGGCAGCCCTACTAATATAATATATTTTCAACATAGAAGTTAAACCTTTGCATTTCTATTAAGTAACAAATACATATTTAAAATGATTATTTTTTATTTCAAAGTGGAACATTCCTATTGATAATACTATGTACTGTCCTTCCTGATTTCTCTCTTCAATATTTGTTTCATAGCTGAGAGTGAAAGACAGAGAAGAGATGTTGTCTTCCTAATGGATGGATCAGATGGAAATAGGAATGGGTTCCCAGCAATAAAAGAGTTTGTGCAAAGAATGGTGGAGAGATTGGACGTAGCTGAGAACAGAGTTCGTGTTTCTGTTGTCCAGTACAACAAAGACACAGACGTCCATTTCTATCTAAACACGTACACGAAAAAGGAAGACATTCTTGAACGTGTCAGAGATCTGAGGCACAAAGGAGGCAGACCCCTCTACACGGGGGCAGGTCTCCAGTACGTCAGAGACAATGTCTTTACAGCCTCCTCCGGCAGCAGGCGGCTGGAGGGTGTGCCGCAGATACTGGTATTGCTTAGCGGGGGAAGGTCATCTGACAGTGTTGATGCAGCAGCCTCCTCTCTGAAAGAGCTTGGCGTTTTGACCTTTGGAATAGGATCGAGGGGCTCTGATAGCAGTGAATTGCAGAGAATTTCATACGACCCCAATTATGCTCTGACCGTGTCCGACTTCAGTGAGCTTCCAAAAGTCCAAGAGCAGCTGCTGGCCTCTGTCCAGGCTGTTCCAATTCCCATCACTTCAACTTCACCACCTGTCACCGGTATGTGCATGGAAGAACTTTATAGTACGCTGTGTCTCGTCTTTCTACTTAATGCCCCTACTTTTTTCTTTTCCTTTTTTTGTGAGCAGTGGGAATGTTAGCCAGAACTTAGACTGTTAATGAGGTGGTGAACTGATATGACATTCTGAAGGTTAATGAACGTTTTGATATTTCTTGGCGTTAATGATGCAGTTTCTTCCACTTCCTAGCTGTTTACACCACACCCAGAAAGGACATAGTGTTTCTTCTGGACGGTTCAGATGGCACAAGGAATTCTTTCCCAGCTATGCGTGACTTTGTGCAAAGAGTAGTGGAGCAATTCAACATAGAAGCCAACAGAGACCGAGTTTCTGTGGTACAGTACAGTAGACACGCTGAGGTCCATTTCTATCTGAACAGCTACACGACAAAGGAAGACGTTATTGACCATGTCAGAGGCCTGACAAACAAAGGAGGCAGACCCCTTAACACTGGAGCAGCTCTCCAGTACGTCAGAGACAATGTCTTTACTACCTCCTCTGGCAGCAGGCGGCTGGAGGGGGTGCCACAGATACTGATCCTGCTTAGTGGGGGAAGGTCATTTGACAGTGTCAATGCAGCAGCCTCCTCTCTGAAAGAGCTTGGTGTCTTGATCTTGGGAATAGGATCGAGGGGCTCAGATAGTGGAGAATTGCAGAGAATTTCATACACGCACAGTTATGCTCTGTCCGTGTCCGACTTCAGTGAGCTCCCAAATATCCAAGAGCAGCTGCTGGCCTCTCTCCAGGATGTTGCAATTCCCGTCACTCCAACTTCCCCGACTCTGACCGGTATGTCCATGAAAGAACTTAACGAGAGCTAGCTGACAAGCTGTGTTTTTTTGATTACTCGCAGCTTAGGTAGTCAAAGAGGTAGTGAACTAACGTGATGCTCTAAAGATGTTTTGATATGTCCTGTTGTTAATGACATGGTTTTCTTTTCCTAGCTGATGACGCCATACCCAGAAAGGACGTAGTGTTCCTGTTGGACACTTCAGATGCCACTACAAATACTTTCCCAGTGATGCGTGACTTTGTGCAAAGATTAGTGGAGCAATTCAACATAGATGCAAACAGAGACCGCGTTTCCGTGGTGCAGTACAGTAGAGACGCAGAGGTCAATTTCTATCTCAATACATACACAACAAAGGGGGAGATCTTGAACTCTGTCAGAGGTCTGAGACATGGAGGAGGGAGACCCCTCAACACTGGGGCAGCTCTCCAGTATGTGAGGAACAATGTCTTCACCGCCTCTGCGGGGAGTAGAAAGCAAGAGCGTGTCCCTCAGATTCTCATCCTCCTCAGTGGAGGACAGTCAATCGATAACATAGATACACCTGCCTCCACCTTGAAACAGGGTGGGATCTTGATTTTTGGCGTCGGCACCAGAAATTCCAGCAGAGAGGTGCAGAGAATTGCCAATGATCCTACCTATGCACAGTCCATCAATGAATTCTCTGACCTTCCCAGTGTCCAACAGCAGTTTATCTCATCCCTCAACAACGTGCTTGGTCAAGTCAAGCCGATGACAACTACTGTGCCGGGTAAGACAGATTCCTGTACGCCTCTAGAAAACAGCACACTGAGCCCTTCTTTGCAAAGCATGCAGTAGACTCTGAACAGTTTAAGTTAGCAGTGCATGTGAGCAGAGCCGTGGGAAATTAGACTAAAAACCCAAGGGCTTCAACCCTAGGCACTGTTAAATTTTAAAGTGTTTGTTCATTCACTCGTTGGTTTACTTTAGGCAAAGTTTTTGTCTTTTGACCAATATAACCTTTATATTTAGACCTTATTTCACGGCTCCATATTCATTAAATTTGGGCAGTTTTAGTCTGACCAAAATGAGGTGTTGTTATAGCAGACGTGACTAACGTTTGGCCATTGGATAGGTTGTAAAATAACTTAAAGGGCGGTAGAGTCATTTCCCGTTTGCTGTTGCCAGCTAGAGCACGCATACACCTACAGACAATATCAGATGCCGAGTGCTCACGTGACTGTGTGTTCCATTTTATTACCCGTAGCTGAGCGAAAGAGGGATGTAGTGTTCCTGCTGGATGGTTCAGATGGCACTAGGAGCTCTTTCACTGCGATGCGTGACTTTGTTGAAAGGCTGGTGGAGAGATTGAATGTGTCTGAGAACAGAGACCGTGTGTCCGTGGTCCAGTACAGCAGAGATACAGAGGCCCATTTCTATCTTAACGCACACTCAAGAAAAGAGGACATTCTTGACACGGTCAGGGGTCTGAGCCACAAAGGAGGGAGACCCCTCAACACGGGGGCAGCTCTGCAGTACGTGAGGGACAATGTATTCACCGCCTCCTCTGGAAGCAGACGTGTAGAAGGTGTGCCCCAGTTACTGATTCTGCTGAGTGGTTGCACTGTATTTGTAACCTATAAAACATTACAGATAAACATTTTCTTTACATCTGATGTACCTGATAATGTACATGTGTTTGAACAGGAATATGTTTGTCCCAGATGTGACTCTGGTTTCATTGAAGAGGTGTCAGAGAACTCAAGGTGAGAATTGCTTTTATGTCATTAACTAATGATCGAGATTGTAATATTTTTCTTTACTGTAATTCCATAGATCTCTGTTTAATCAACTTGTTTGTCATTTACATTGAGTAAAACATGCTTCATTAGTTTTCTTCAGAGACGTGATGGTGCTGGTGCTGCCGCTGTAGGCGGTGATGACATGGCCTCACAGTTTGCAGAGGTATAATACTTTTTTCCCCACTGTCTTCCAATAACTGATTATTTGAGCATTATATATCATTAACTATGAAAAACATAAACAGAACAAAAATATGGAAATGTTTCCTTGCCAAAGCAATAAAAGCAATACAATGAATTAATAAAAAGTGGTAATAAATAAAAAAAGCTAAAACTAAAATAAATAAAATGTAAATAGTAATATTTAATAAAGCTAAATTAACAAAAATGACAAAATCACATAACAGAATTACTAAAAATTAAGTAAAATTTAAATGAAAAATAAAATCTAATTCAAAATATTAATAATAAACTTGTAATTAATAAAAATGTGTAATTACAATATTAAAGATAGATGATAGATCAGAGGTGTGCAGTGGTGTTCTGAAATGAGAAGTTTTTTTTTCTTTTTCTTTTTTTAAATCAAATGTAAATTCATGCCCCAGTCACAGTTTCTTGGTTAAATAAACTTTACTAACAATATTAGAAAGAGAGAGAGAGAACACAATTCAATTCTATTTAATTTTTTACAACAATGTGATCAATATTCTATTTATTAAAGCCAAGTATGAATCTCATCAAGTTAGTGTTTTTAAGCATTTTACATGTATTCCAAAATGATAACTCAAGGCAGTAACAATTTAAACTAAATATTTTATTTGTGAACTTATGTTGAGCTATTCTTTTTTAATAGTTAACTTTGAACTATTTTTGAATTTTTCAGATCATCAGTCATCAAAGCTCGGTAAATATTGGTCACAGACACAGAGATTTACCTTAAATTTCACAAAGCTGATTAATCACTAAAAACTCCCACAGATCATGTTTTCATGCCATTTTAAGTCTTATTTTGACGTAACAAAGTGGTTATATCTAAGTGTGTCAGTTGTTTACGTACTTTTTTAATTAGTCGTCCCGTTAATGGCATTATATTGTTCATTCAGACTGATTTGTGAACACCGAACGCGCACAAACACAAGAGGCAGAATTTATCGCATGAACCAATCCCAGACAACCATAACAGATTTACCTTAAATTTCACAAAGCTGATTAATCACTAAAAACTCCCACAGATCATGTTTTCATGCCATTTTAAGTCTTATTTTGACGTAACAAAGTGGTTATATCTAAGTGTGTCAGTTGTTTACGTACTTTTTTAATTAGTCGTCCCGTTAATGGCATTATATTGTTCATTCAGACTGATTTGTGAACACCGAACGCGCACAAACACAAGAGGCAGAATTTATCGCATGAACCAATCCCAGACAACCATAACCAGGCATATCCAATCGTATCGTGATGGAGGCATTGCCTCCTCTCTCGTGTCTTTTCCCCATTCATCCTCAATTACCCCCTCCACTAAACCCACTGCACACTTTAGGGGGTCTGTTAAAACTCAATGGGCTCAGGGGAGGCAGGGCTTCCTCTGTAACTTTACCCACTGGTGTCACTGTTTGACAATGTTTCTTTAGAAAAACGAATGATTTATATTTTGTAATATTTGCATTGTTTTATTTTTGTACTACAAATTTTTTTCTCATCCAATTCTCCCTTGCCTCCTCAGAGGAAACGCCCCTGATATATATATATAT